AATATAAAAAACAATATGTTAAGATTATGAAATATAAATTATTGAAATTTCAGAAAAAATATATTGTTCGAATTCTATTTTCTAACAATTTCTATCAAGCACCTTCTGCAAAAATATTTAATTAAACGAATTTGAATAATCAGTTGTTATTTAATATTATTTTTAATAAAATTAGTTACATAGAGTTTTTTTTTTATTATACATTCTTTAATTCATTTATGTTTCAGTCAAATAGAAACATTCAAATACAATTAGACTTATATTTTTAACAAAAACAAAAAAAAAAGGAATATCGTTTCAACATAAATAATGAAAATATTTGCCTATAAAGATGTTTTTAAATTGAAGTATATTGATAGAAATCTCAATCAATTGAGAATGTAAAACCAAAAATATTTTTCGTACTATTTCGAAGATATATTTTATAACAAATCAGTTAAAAATTTACTTTCGAATTGTTCACTATCATTATGATCACTAATTGAAGGAGTATGTTGTTGTTGTTTTGGTCGACAACAAGTACATGTTGCATTGTCATTTTTCTGAATTGATTCAGAATTTGTTGTCCATTCTTTCATTGACAATGCAGCAGCAACATTAAAAGAATCACCTATTAATGGTTGAATTATTCTTGTATATATTGATAATAATGAATTACGAGCATGTTTTCTAACATCATGAGACTAAAGTGTAAAAATAAAATAAAAATAAATCTAATTCAATTAAATAGTTAAATAAAAATTAATTTACTTCTTTCTTAGGAAACATATAAAGATTAGCAAGTTCATAACTATTTCCAAATAAATTCGTTAATGAAAAATCATGTTCAAGAAATAATTTAATAAATTCTATTTGATTACGTTCAAGTGCCAATACAAATAAATTCTTTAAACCAATATTCTAATATTAATAATAAAAATAGAAAAGAAATTTTTTTTTTTTTTTTATTATTCTTACATCCCAATCTCGAACATCTTTCATAATATAGTTTCTAGCTATATCAACACGATTCCATTCTAATGCTAAACGAAGTTGTTCACGTTTTTGTTGAAAATTTACTTTACCATTATCACTAATAGAAGCAGCTAAACAAAAAAGTCATATTAAAATGAATAATAAATTTATTTAAATGTTTTTTGTTTCTTTACCATTTAATAGTGCTTGTAAAATAACTAAATCAATATCAGGTTCAACTGGATCACGTGAATTAAGACTAATTATATTCAAATAAGTTTTTCGAGTATCAATACATTCATAGACTAATTCAAAATAATCTGTTTTATCAGCTGCTGTCGTTGTTGTAGTTTTATGTGATATTTTATCAGTATTAGAAGTTGATGCATCAGTTTCTCCACTAATTCCACGAAGTTCATCTTTAAGTTGTTCACGAAGTGTATTTTTTAATTCTTCATTACGTTTTGATATAATATTTCGATCAACACTAAAAATAAACAGTAACCGAAAAAACAAAAAATTTCTTGTCACTAAAAGACATCATAGTATTTGTATTTTTTTTTATGCAATAAATCGAACAGAATTATCAGTTTGTAAAGTAGAGGTAAAAAGTCTAGAAATAGCGTAGCTTTGACTTTTTTCCTTAATGATAACAGCTGGAAAAATTGAGAGAACATGTTTGAGTGGCTAAAACAATGTCCCATCAGTTGGGGTACTAGTCAAATTTCCATTAACAGTTTTTTTGGAGAGATCTTTCGAAAAACAAGACTCTATTAAAAACCTTTTTCAAAAAATAATTCATATGATAGAGAAAACATTTCTGAATAAAATAAAATGTTCTTGAACTTTATTTCATAGAAAAATAACAGAAAATAACCATTTAGAATAATAGCAAGATCAATGTCATTATATGAAGATGAGTTCTGACGAGCTTGTGAACATTTTATTCTGTTCATGAATGTTTTCTCTATCAGATGCCCTCTTCAAGAAACGTATCTGGCTACAATGAAATTTCTTCGAAGATTCTAGTATGCACGATCAAATAAAGATGGAGAAGTGAAAAAAAGGCGGTGTTAAATACAAAATAATCTTGTTTATAAAAGATTAGACTTCAAGCAATTATTACTATTTCAATTTTTTTGACAAAAATTGACTTTTTATGAAATGAACCTTGAAACAAGTAACTTTTGTAAGTTAGTATGAAGATATTAATGATCCTCTCTTCATACTTACTGTTTTCGTGTTTTATCAATATGTTCAAATTTTTGACGATTTTCTTCATAAAGTTGAAATGCTTTAGAAAATAAATCACAACAACGACCTGTTCCTTCAAGAAAAACAGCTGGAATATTATTTTGAACAACAGCTTCATGAACTATAAACAGATGAATGTCAATTAAATTTGTAGATAAATAATTTCTATTACCTGTTCGAACTGTATTTGGACCGCCTTCAACAACAAGAAGAACAACAGGTACAGAATCTAAATAAACAAAAAAAAAATTAATTGTCATTGACAAAATAAAATTGAATTTTTATATGAACCTGATTGTTCCGATTGTAAAGATGAAGTTCTTGATAGACTTGCATTTAGATTACTAGAATTAGTTGTAGTTTTGGATGCAAAAAAGCCACCAGAAATAGCTTTTTCAAGTTTAGCACGAAAAGCTATTTCTCCACCATATTGTCCTTTACTTTCATCATCGACAAAAATAAATTTAGTATGATTTGGTTCCAATGGTGCTTGACCTTTTGTCTCACTAGATGGTTTAGCATAATGTACAATCGAACCTTGTACATCAAGTTCTTCAAAACCGGATACACAACCCCAAGTAGCAATACCCTAGTATTATTTTATTGTTTAAAAATAAATTCAAATTTTTGAATTATATGAAACTTACGATTAGTTGAATCGGTCGAGAACGATCAGGATTTGTCTCAACGATTTCACCAACAAGTTTCATAATACCTCTATTCATACCACCAGTAATGATCCATGCACCTTAAATCGAACAAAAGAGAATATTTTGTAAATATAAGTCTAGTATAGTTCTAATCAGGGTAATTTCTTTTCTAGTGATCCTAGTCATCGAAACCGAGATGAGGACCAGAATTGGTCTCGCATATCTCTAGTAGAGAGTCATTGATTGAATAATTATTCTTTGAATGGAAATTTATCGAAAGACATTGTGTCGACAAGTATTTGATCAAAATGTATTTCGTCGAAAATTACTACAATAGTAATATTGACTATTTATTCTTTTATAATCCATACAAACAGACTGCAAACGAATAAATAGTCAACAGTGTTACTATTGTAGTAATTTTCGACGAAATACATTTCGAATCAAACAATCAAAGATTACATAGTGATGGCCGGATTCTATGAGTTCTGAACTCCTTGAATTCTCAAAAATAAAATTCCAGTCATGGAAGCTATGGAACTCTCAAAAAGATGGGCACGTTAGTTTCTGTTCTCTCTACACCGAAAGGCAGTTATATATCAATATCCACGAAAATGATAGTATCGTATATTTCTCATTTCTCATAGCATTTTCGATATTCTGAACTTATGATGGTTGATCTTTTATCGAAATTTCAATAAATTCTTGATTTGTTGAAGTTACTCGAGTTCCAAGAGTTCAGAGCGCACGGAGTCCCTACACGTTTCTATGACAATCCGGCTGATAAGTTTTAAAAATCTGTAACAAAAATGTTTAAACCAAATGTTGACATCCTATTAATATTTTTCACTTTTCAATACCCGTCGTTCGAGCAACTTTAAGAAGGCCACGTTGAAATGCTCTTAATAATCTGGGTTTCATATTATATTTTTTTGCACCACCGGTTATTGATATGACAAGTGATGGGCGCTAAATAATAACGAAAAAAAAGAAGTATTCGTTTCCAAAAAAAAAAAAAAATCCGAAGAAATCTGAATAACCTACTTCACCAGACCATTCTCCAGTCAAGAATTCTTTCACATGCATGACAGATGCCTTATTTGATATACGAATAAAATCTGCTTGATGAGACCTGTTATCAGGAACTTGAAAATAGAGGAAAGAAAATTTATTTTTTTTTTTGTTAAATTTCTTTGCATACAAGTAATTGTTCCATATGATTTAACACACATCGCTTCCGAGAATTGATTCTTACTTCGATCAACAGAAAATACTGCATGTTTACTTATATTTTTATGAAAAAAATTTGAACGTGATGGAACTGCCATCATATATATGTATCTATACGTTAAAAGACAACAGCTTAATCTGAAATTAATATAGATGAATTTTGAAGAAAAGAAAACAATATTTTATTATTCTATCAATGTTTTTTTTTTATAAATGATTATATTTATTCTTGAATATTTGTTTACAATGTATGTATTAAAATGCAAGATGACTTTCATGCATGTAACATATCAAATAGACATTAATTTGATATATCACAGTGTGTCATAAAAAATAATTGATTTTAATTTTGATTTGTAGAGAAAAACTTTAATCCACTCAGAAAATTCATTATAATGTTATTTATGAATTTATTTGCTTTACATCGATGAATTATAGTATAGTTGAGTTTGTTGTTGCGATGGAATGATTCATCATTGTATCTAAGATGTCAGACAGTCAGTCAGTCAATCATCAATCAATCAATTCTGGTAATCATTCAACCAATCAGAAAATTTCATGAATCATCAATTTTCTGTAGTTGACAGACATTGACACAAAAAAAAGAAAATGAAAGATCATTTTTTCACATACAATGCATAAAAAAAATTGTAGAGTACCTTTACCAAGAATATAAAAAATTCATTTTCTAGTTAGGAAAAGAATCTAATGATTTAACTTATACTTGCGGTAGAAAGATGAGTCTATATAGTATGCTAACGTGTAGTTATTTTACTTTTTCTTCTTTTATATATAGATTCAGAAATCGATGGAAAGCAAAAAGTACAGTAACATAATTATAAGTTCCCTTTTTAAAAAAAACCGATTTTTTTTTCTTCTGAGGAGGTGTACCGAATTCACAACTATACAGGCCAAAATCACCCAGTCGGATCTCATACGACTTTCCGACAGCTTTCAATGAGATGCGATAGCCGATAATCATGAGATTTGATGCAATCTGATAAGACTCTTATTTTTTCTTTAGATTCATCTCAACAAAGAGATCAGTCAGTAAGCTATATTGTGTTCTTAAAAACTTAATTTTGTGGTATTAATAGAATCAACTGTAAGTAGAAATTATTTATTGATTTTGGTTTTCATCAGTTTAGATTGCTTCATAGATCCATTCAATGAAAAGTAAGTTTTATTTATATATTTATTTTTTTCCTTATTTAGGATTATTTTTGACGAATACATCCAATCAAGAGTAATTTTTAAGTATTTTTTTATTACTCGATTTGTTTTTCTCAGATCCTTTCATTGTTAGATGATTAAGATGGGTACAATATCGGGCAAAAATAATCGTGTAAGAGCTGTAGACAGTGAAAATACAATTGTTTATGACCATAACCGTCCGTATGTGGACGCTCTCTTTCTCGATCTGAGAGTTATTGTTCTATAGAAGTCTAAACGAGATCTGGTATTTTTATGAAAATTTAGCATGATCCTATTGGATCTCTGGCTCATCTAACAACTTCTTGTCGAAATCCGGTTCCAACCCAGGATGAACAATTCGATTTTAAGATCTTAAATTTGCTCTCGCCTAATCTGATAACATCAGAAGAAAATCGTACGGAAAGTCATTGTGTCCGCAAAACTTATGTCAAGTGTTGATGTACGATTCTTCCAAGAGCGTATAGATAATATGGTCTTGAAAGAATGGTATCCCAAGACTTAGGACGTGAGTGTGGATGTGGGTGTTGCTGTTCTTTTCAACCATGCTCACACTTCTAATATCACTTAACTACCATTGTACCAAATATATATTTGATCAGCAACAGTATTCTATGCTTATCTTTACTGATTAGTTTTTGTTGAAGATAATTGGTTTTATGCATTTATTTTCAGAACAAAACTGAAAAAAATTTTATTTATGACAAATCCTGATGTTTGACTTAGAAAAAAGAATTCTTTTAGTTGCATGTAATTAGGAAACTTATTTATAGTTTAAAGAAACACAACTGACTATACTAGTCTCAATTATTATTTTTTAAATACAGAAAAAAAACAATTTTCTTCGTATAGAGATTGTTATTGAAGCATAAGATTAGTTAATTGCTTGCAATTTTAATTCACTCATGGAGTTCAATAGAGAACTTTTGATTGATTGCATCACTAACTACGTAGTTAACATAAAATTCATATTTCACCTGAGATTATAACATTTTGTTGAGTAATTCAATTGAATAAAATTCGTCAGTTTTGATTGGAAGAAATCTTAAAAAGAAAAGCTAAGAAATCAAATTTCATCAATAATATTTTACATATTTTAATTGGTGATCTTTATCGATCCCATCATCTTCTCAATCAATTCATCCATTACGTACAATAGCTGATAATGCATCATTTGAAACTGATATTCGAAAATTCATTGCATCGAATTCATCATCTCTAAGCCTGAATTCATTGAACTATCAAATAAAACACTAAAAACCTCTGATTTAACATTGCTCGATCAATTAATTCGTGATATTGATGAAATAGAAGATATTTCATTTTTAAACATATTATTATCACGTGAAATAGTTTTACATATATTTAATTAGTTATCAATTCAAGAGTTATATTCATGTTCACAAGTGTGTACATCATGGTATTCATTATCATATGATGATATTTTATATTATAATTTAAATAGACGATTAAAATTTGACAATATCAATAAAAATTATCATGATAATTGGAAAAATCATGTTTGAGAAGCTATTTTATCAAAATAATAATCAATAAAAATTTTACAAACAATTAATGCTGTACAACAAAATTAACAAATTGTCTTGGTATTATTTTGACATTTGCAAATAATAAACAAACAACAATTATTACTGATTATTCAAACAGCTACAAAAACAGACCTATCACTTTTTATCTGAATTTGATCGTAAAAATAAATGTTTCATTTTGCATGCAGTTTGCTCCTCTTGCATAGATTTTTCGGTATTCAAATTTTTATTACCAGAAAACGCCTAAGATTTTTTCACAAAAAAGAAGACTGAGCGAATACGACTACAAATTGTAGTCTAGAATAATATGACCCATCAGAACTCAGTAATTGCAAAATTCGTCTTATTCCGTAGTCTGTTGTCGTCCCTTCTAGTGCCTTCTAATGGAGAAAACAAACCTAGAATTTGTAGAATTTGTCTGACTATATAGTCCCCTGTAGTGTGAGGAAAAATCTAGAATTTGCAGAAATTTTGCAAATTCTAGATTTTTCTCCCATTCCAGAGGACTACATGATAAGATTAATTCTGCAAATTCTAGGTTTATTTTCTCACTACATTGTAACACGTGCATAGTAGACTGAAGCACATAAATTCGTGAGGCTACAAATTGTATTTATATTCGCGTATCTCTGCACAAAAAGCTGATAAAATGTTGAGCGCGTATATGTGCTTAAAAACTAAAAACACAGCAAATTATACTCACGATTGTTCACATTTCTCTTCTTACTGGAAAGATATAGTTTTTTCTTACAGCTTTGTAGTCTTAATTCAGCAAGTAATTATGTTTTACTTTCGACAAGTTATGATATTCTATTTTAAGTGGTTATCATGCAATTATCAAAAAAGAAAAGTTGTTTCAAATAAAATCCTTGTAACTTTTTTCACGTATGTAACGAATGTGGGTGTTGGTGTGAGCTATTAGTCAACAGGCTTCCCACATTCAAACCTGCACCGATATATAACGACACTGATCTGCTACTAAATGTATTTTAAAACAAGAACATGAAGAAAAGTGTACACTTTTATTTTTCCAAATGCAACTGAAAGAAAATAATCAAAAAGTTATTCTCGTATGTTTTTCACGATCACCAATAGTGTCTATACTCTTTTTAAGATAAATTTGACATTTTCTGTTCATTCATTCATTCATACTTTAAAAAAGAAAAAATTTTGTTCAAAAATACTAATGATGAATATAAGAAAGCAGTTGTTTGTGTGAACTCATGAAATGGATTCGCACAAAGAAAATTTGGTTGAAAAAAATAGTAACTCATTTTGCACTTAACAATTCTAGTTTTTGAGATATAATCAGTGTTTTTCGTTAATAATCATTTTGCAAACAACTTTTTGAAAAAATGTGACGAAATGAACAAATAAACGTTTCGAAAAGTGGAAAAGTAGAAAAAAAATGAACAAAACATGCATCTTTTGTGCGATAGTTTTTGAAACAACCAAAAAAGACATAATAATATACTGAAAATCGCTATTTTGGATAAAAAATGTGGGTGTGGATATGAATGTTGAGAAGATTCACACTCATCCACTCACACCCTTCTATCATCAATACAGGTATTATCGTACGATCAAACTTGCCTTCTATCCATTTTCTTTTGTCTACAAGCTTGTTAGAAATACTATTACAATTCAACATAAATTACACTCTTATTATATTTTGCATATCTTTGATCTAACAGTGAGACTCAGACAGTATCAAATATTCGTCTGATTATGAATCGTGATTGCTCAATACTTCGTTGAGAGCGGAGGATGAGGATATTAAATTCCTTATACTCATCTAATGTAGTTCTTAGAACATTTTATTCTCGTTGTTTTTCTTGATAAGACTGTTTTATTGCCATGTGATGAAATAAATACATGAGTAACGTTTGGCTGCGTCATACCAAACACAAACTCATCTGATAACTAATGTCTGAAGAGCAAATATTGTTGGAACGTATGGTTTTTTTCACACGCATACAGAACAGAAGAAATTTCCAAGCTTTACTCGTACAACTCTTTATTGTATCCTTGAAGTTGTTTTTTTCCTCAAAGTCATAATTTCGCAAGAAGTTGATAAGAATATGTATTATTCTATGCAAATGATTTAATATTTATAATCAAAAACAATCTATTTCATACAAATATTTGATATACTTTTGACTTGATCACAGATGCCTCAAGCAGTTATAACTCGCGTAGTAATTATTGGTGGCGGTCCCGTAGGACTTCTATTAGGTAGGAAATATTTCTTTTGTTAGGCTCTATTATTTCTCGTTTGTTCTAGGTTCCCTTCTAAGAGATCAAAATGTAGATGTTACTATACTGGAAAAACGATCTGATATTACACGGACACGATGTGTTAAATTATTAGGACGAATTCTCTTATCAAACGCAATTACTGATGAAATTTTTCTGTTTTCGGAAGAGCAAATCGAAGAACGTCAGCAAGCGATCGAGTCTATGAAATTAGAGCTTTTTGACATGGTTACTGGTTGGCTTGAGTTATTTACGCCAATTCAGACCATTCAAGAAGCACTTAAAAATTATTGTATCTCATCTGGCGCTCAACTTTTAACTGATGATGAATATGATATTAGCAAGAATTTAACTTTGCTGCAACGTTATCCAAACACAGTTGTAATTGATTGTACAGGCTATCATTCTGTGTTACGCGATCAGATTCAACCAAATAATCGTATTAGCCGACTTATTGAATATGTAATCGTATGTACATTTATTCTTGATGATAGATATGAATGTAATGAATTATGTAAATATTATAAAAACATAAATACCAAAAGATTTCAATGTATTCCATCGATTGATGATACTTATAGGACGAGAGACAGAGAAACACATGTCACATGTTTAATTACAATCGATGAACCGATGTTTCAAGAACTGTCAAAAATACGACCTATTACGTACGATTATTTGAGAGAACAGCAACATGAGATTTATAATGATTTGAATATTTTTTTAAACAATCTTTCTTCGGGAATTATGGACCATAGTCACTTCGATACGATGGAATTTGTTGCACTTCCTTTACAAGTGTATCGTGGTAGAAAGTTGACACATACTGTGAGTAGTGACAATCTCAATCAACATTGGATATTGATGGGTGGACCTTATTTTCAATCGATCAGTATGGGTTATGAAGCTGCTATTTATTTTGCTTATCTATTTAGACGAATGAAACAAAATATTCCAGAGATGATGACCAAATATGAAGCTTACATGGATAAACTATGGTTAGCTATGCAAATACGTTCGAAAGAGATTCAACGAAATAAGCAAATTTTACAAGCAATGTGTCTCAATAATCGAGATGATATTTTAACTAAGATTAAAATCTATTAATTTTCCATGTACATTTTGTTAATAAAGCCTTGTAAAACTGTTCTATTTTAAATAAAAGTTAGTGGAAAAATATATTTAAAGAAAACAATCATCACGTGATCTCTTACGTTCGTGATGAGACCCGACACGGGTCACCCGACTCGACTTGACCCAACGAGAAATTTGACCGAACCGAGCCAACTCAGCAAAATTTTATTTTACTTTTTCTGTGAAATTCTAAAGATGTTACGAGATCTAGAAATGATTAGAAAGTATTATCATAAGCACTTATATTGCACTATGAGTGGAAGAGAGTGACGAACTGTGTAGAAGGCCATCGCCATCAAAATATCCTGAAGCGTTAATTATTTTGTCAAAATTACTTGATAAGCCAAAAGAACTTCTTGACATCATTGCTGCAACGAAATCTTTGGTCGAACACATGAAATTAGTTTTTTTTTAAATGTGTAAGAGATTACAACGATTTTTTTCTAGACTGGTTTAAATAACGAAATTCAGCAACAATCAAATATTACTAGATGGTTGCCGTTATCATTCCTACTAAAATCAATAGAGGTTTCAATCGAACATATTCGATCCCTTATATCAATAAGATCACCAGCGGAAAAACATAAAATTAATTTAAATTCGATGATAGACCAAAACTGCACAATTCTCTCAATCGTGAACAATCGATATGTAGGTGTCGGTTAATAAGCTCAAAGATAGATTGACCATCAACGATGATAAATCGTGTATCGACTCAAAATGTAAGCAGACATTCGAATCTATGTTAGAGTAGTACTAGAGGCCCCTGTGAAGGGTTAAACTCAAGGGGGGAAAGCGGGACTCCTGGAGTGCGTACTCCCACTGTACTATCCTGTTCTTCCACTGTACCCCCCTGTACCTCCTCCGTGCTCCCCTGTACTATACTGTGCCTCCACTGTGCTCCCCTGTACTTCCACTGTGCTCTCCTGTACTTCCACTGTACCTCCACTGCGCTCCCCTGTACCTTCACTGTACTTCCCTGTACTATCTTGTATCTTCCCTGTACTTCCACTGTGCTATCCTGTACCTTCACTGTGCTCCCCTGTACTATCCTGTACCTCCACTGTACTCCCATTGTTTTGTGGGAGTACGGGAGTCTTGCCTTTTCCCCCTTGGTTGAACTTTAATATTATCGGAAAAATTTAATATTATAGGAGAAATTGATTTAATTTACATAAGAAGTTCCTGAATGAAAAATATAATATAGATATATAAATATATTAATAATTAGTTAGTGATTAATTACTAAATCACTCACTTACTCTATCATCTCCTTTCAATCAGTTAATAGAAGGGAGCTCTTACAATATTTAGCTTCGCTACGATTATTTATTATTCTTACTCTCCGAAAATATAGTTAATATAGATAATGGACAGTTTTGTAAACGTTATGCTGCTCCGAGCTTTGAAAAATAAAACAAAATAAAATATGATGGACATATATATGTATAGAGAGAGAGAGAGACAATCAATGGTCAGACATGACGTACATGTATAATGAATGAACATACACGACGTATATACATAATGAATGGACATATAGGACGCACATATATATATATATGTATATATGTATGTATACTTTTTTTTTCGTTCTGTGACCAATCATATGAAAGTTCCTGAAGAAGAAAACTTGTACAATATAATATAGATTTGCTCACTTCCTTCATGAGTTTTCAATATAATATTTTCACAGAATTGTCCTTCGCATCCAAAATAAGAAACTCGAGTAAAGGGTGTTTTTGTCTTCTTAGTAACTACTAACGATTGAAAACAATGCATTTTTCTTTCATCGGTGATTTTAATATTTTGACGTGATGCCACTCATTGTTTTCAAATGATAGAAGATCAGAAAAACTTGTCATCTCAATTATAGTCCTAAAATATTGTTCACAGCATATTGAGAATAACAATTCTTCGATAGATCGAAGTTTAAGTCCTCTTGGGCATTTGCCTATTTTACAGGAGAATTTCATATATCGCCAATTCCCTGATAATGTACTGAAATCGTTTCAAATTGGTAACAAAACAGAAAGGGTGTTGGTGTGAGTTTAGATCATTTGTTTATTGAAAGGCACACACCCAGGTCCATACTCGAATTTATTCACAATCATTGGAGCATGATTTCATTAGCTTTTGAACCATGGAACTTTGAATTTATGCATCTCGGTATTCCGCTTTCTTTGGAGACTCGAGGAGGGACCTTTAAGAGATGTCATTTGTTTAATTAATTTGAAATCACAAAGTCAAAACTTTCTACGCTATCATGGTGCAGTATATTGATTTACATTACAGGCGGTCGCATACATTTGAGAATCATGCTTTCTGAAACTTTTAGTGGACTGTGATGAAAATAACAAGTGTCGGCATGCCAACGGGAACAGCACGACTTCAGCTTTGTTGAAGTAACTTGAAGCAAGTGAAGTACCCAAAAGCATAAAGGCGTACTGTTTCCGGTAGTTTTGCAACTATGTGACATTATGTATGCCTCAGCATAGCAAGCACATGTATCTTAGTCATTTTCTGTTTAACAACGGTTCATTTACCTCGCTGTATAGTTTGTTTCTGGCCACACTCATTAGAACTCATCATTTGATATAAATGCAAAAGTCGAAAACAGTGGCAAAATGAATTATGAATAAACTTGAAACGAAATGTGATCCATGAAAAGAAAGGTAATGGTTGATTGAAAAAGGGTTTCACACAGACATGCAGACAAAATGTAATTTGTTACCATTAGGTATGTCAAAGCATCGATATTATGGGGAAAAAAATTCTACCAGAACAATATCAGTCACAAGCAATGTGTAGTCCCTTAACGACGATAAATAGCGATCGTAAAATGATGGTGCGAATGTAGCGATGGCTTCTTGGCACAGTCTAGACATAGATCATAACCAATGAAGGGAGTTGTGCGTGTCGTGGTTAACTGCGTAGTTCCATATTTCGCTCGCGTAGTAGTTGTTACCTCTACTTCTCGAACATGTCGTTCATTGCTTCCAGGAAGTACAAAACCGCTGCACTCCATGCATCGAAATCCCATCTCACCGTCATTGAATGCATGTTCACAGCCATCGCAAAATGCTTTCCCAATTACTGTACAACCAACACGATGTGAAAACTGACTGAAAACATGTTGATCCATGCTGTATTTATCTCTCGACCGAAAGTAACTGCATCTCCATTTCACGCGTGTTTCTTCTTAAAAATAAAGAAAAGTAAAGATAAGAACGCATAACTAACGAAGATTGTTAAAATATGTCCACAAAGTTTCAATTCTTTAAACTAACTGCGATAAGAATACATTGTTCTCGAATCATTCAGAAAGACACAAGACAAGACAATTTCTGACAGAAAAACAAAAATTTCATTACAATTTTGTTTTTTTTCGTTCAAGCGAAGTGTGGCTGGTTACAGGTGTGCATGTAGGTGGGTGATGTGAGTGTGAGTTGAGAATTGGTGTGAGGACGGGAATGTGGGGTGTTGGTATGGGTGCGGATATAGATGTGGGTGTGGTTCTTCTCCTAATCAAGATACACATGGATACCCACATTCATACCCATCCCCGACATCCCACACCCATGCTCACACCGATATCGACGCCCTCCAACAGAGAAGACTGATTTAATTCGATCTTTATATGATGTTGGTGATTGAGAGTTGATTTGTTCTTATATCAGATGAGAATTGTTGATCATCACTATCATATCTTAGTGAGTGTTCTTTTTTATAGGTTTCTATATGATCCTCATATATAGTCATTTAAAAGAATTCAAGAGCGCAATATAGTTATTAATAACTACTACTCGTTAATTCATAAATCGCAATCAATTACAACTGTCTTCAATGTTCCTTATCAGGGTGGAGAAAACTCAGATCTACGAAGCGGCGGTGTGTGACTGTATGTGGTTCTTTTCCTCATCAACACCCACACCCACACAATCCATGAAAATTCTGAATGCTTGTCATATTATTTATCAAATTTTATCACTGAACTAGGTTCATTTGGTGATACTCTTGGATCATCATCATGTATTGTATGTATATAGCGTGACCGATATTGCAATTCTGTTTTTGTTTCTTTTTATTCCTATATTTCTTTTGTTTTCATTGTAAACTGCACGTACTGTCGATATATTCAATTTTGTCTGCTAAAGGATACATAAATACCAATGTTTTTCTGTTGGTCTATGGAGCCAAATAGCTTTTATAGGTTTGAATTGGTTTTTATTCATTAATGGTATCGACTATCTACATTGTAAAAATATACATTAAATTATTGAATATGAAGAAAACCAACAATGAAACCATTTTAAATTTTCCTCAGCAATGTACATTTAGACGACATCTTGTAACTGGTTCAAATTCAACATAATACAGTATACAAAACATTTTTGTCTCTGCTAGGGAAAAATAAACAACTTTCTTGATAAGAAGAAGGATGTCATACTCTCGACATCTCTTCCTCGATGGAGCCATCCATATCCAACTGAAAAAATAAAAACAGTCAGAATTGATTACATTTGTGTAGTAGTCAAGGATTATATTAATGAACAGATGGTACTTAATGTTATGGAAATAAATGAGGAGTAATCAAGCATTAGATTATCAATGAATATAATCGATAGTTGTGGATTTACATATATAGGTATATAGACGACTAAGTGTATCATATTGACCATCAACGGCACAATTCATGAAAAATTAGCTAAAAACTTAAATACACTATTTATTATAATTAATAATAATACATTAGCAGAAGTTTATGATAACGACATTGTTGCTAAATATGAAGATGATAGTTAGTTAAATTAAAATATTCCTACGATTTTTTTATTATTGTTATTAAGTGAAAATACAATAAGAATATAAATATGTTTATTTAAGGAAATCTTTGACATTATCCTTTCACCCTAGGAAAGAAAAACAAATCTTTGAGAGCATGGGTGCGGTCTTCTATTCTCTCGCAAGCA